CCTGCACCAACCCGTGCACCGGAGACCATGGGCCCAGCAGCAGCTTGTGGTCTGGTGCCATGCTGGGGAATCGGCCTGCCGGGAGCTTCCCTTTGTCCTGGATTCTGGGCGTGGCATCCCAGCTAATGGCAAGCAGAGGCTTTCCCTGCCAGGGGGGTGCGGGACCCCAAAGCCTCCCCCCGAGCCGCAGAGCCAGGCGCTGGAGCTCATACCCTGTCCCCAAGCATGTCCATGAGAAGTCTGGGCACCCCCTGCACCGACCCGTGTGCCGGAGACTGTGGGCCCAGCAGCAGCTTGCAGTCTGGTGCCATGCCGGGGAATCCACCCGCTGGGAACTTCCCTTTGTTCTGGATTCCAGGCGGGTCTCCCTGCTAATGGCGAGCAGAGGCTTTCCCTGCTGGGGAGGTGCAGGACCCCGGAGCCTCCCCCAAGGCTGCAGAGCTGGGCACTGGACCTCCAACTGTGTCCCCAAGCACGTCCACAGGAAGTCTGGGCACCCCCTGCACTGACCCGTGCGCCAGAGACCATGGGCCCAGCAGCAGCTTGCGGTCTGGTGCCATGCCGGGGAATCCACCCACCGGGAGCGTCCCTTTGTTCTGGATTCTGGGTGGGGCCTCCCTGCTAATTGCGAGCGGAGGCCTTCCCTGCCAGTGGGTGCGGGACCCTGGGGATTCCCCCTGGGCTTAGGTGTAATCGTGGGGGGGCTTGAGTAGGGCTTTTGTCACCTGTTTCCACCATTGCTCTGCTGGTGAGTGCACACTCCCACCCTTGGTGTGTGGCGATGCTATGGGGGAGTCTGCTGGAAGAGAGCCTCCTGCAGGAACCAGGCTGTCCGGGGGTTGGGGGTCAGGGGTGGAAGAGTTTTCACCTATTTCCACCTCCTCCCAGAGGGAAGTCCGTCCACCTTCCGATGTATAGTAGCATGAGACTCTTAGGCGTCTTGAGATGCTATCTGGATATTCTTTGTTAATCTGTGAATGTCCAATTAGTTGTAGATTCGACGGGGGAGAAACAAAGAAGACCACTCACTCTGCCATCTTGGTCCCACCTATTAGCACACTCTTATTGCAATTGTCCTCTTAATTGGGTCGGTACCCAGTGTAGCTGGTTGCTAGGCTCAGGGGCTTACAGTTGTGATAGGCCTGAGGCCAACAAGGCTGATGTTAGTTCTCTTAGGAGTGCAGCTGAGTAGGGCTAGCCCTTGGCATGGAGGCACTCAGTTGTTTCAGGCTTTGGAAGGTGGGGCTGATCCTTTTTATGGCTATTTGTGAAACATAAATCTTCTGCCACTGATAAGCCTCACCCCCCCTCTGGACCACATACACTGACAGCACAGTCCTGGACCATGCACAAATATTATGTATATTGCTACACTTTCTATCAATAACATCCCTGGTGTACCTGTCTCACTGACGCTAGACTCTTGTTCTACAGCTCACCTTCTGAGAAGAAATCCAGTCACCAGCCCCACTGACACTGTGACATTGGCGATATACCACCGGTGACAGGGCTGCCTTGCATCCTAGTGCATCCATATTGCCTGCCAGCAAAAGCAGCTGTGAGCCTATTGACTGCGGCCTTTCTAGGAATCAACAGTCATCATCCTTGAGGCCATCTATCTCTGGTTTTCCCTACCCAGGTGAATCCACGGAACTTCCAAGGCTCCCTCCTCCACACTGTCCAGTATGACTGTCTCCACCCTAACTGGATTATCTTCCATAGCCTGCACTGCTAACCCAGGATGGGGAAGGGGAGTGTGAAATCCAGGAAAGGCTAGACTTTCAAGGGCACTGTGGCATCCCCAAGCCTTCTCCACCTGGAAGTGTCCTGCCTAGACGACTGATCCCTCAGAATCACCTGAAAAATGCCCTGGTCAGGCCAAAACATTATGACGAGTGGATCCTTGGAAATCCAGGTCCCTGGTATCCATGATATGAGATTTCATCAGTTTGGAGGTGCACAGTGAAGCCAATGGGGCACAAATAGTTTGAGTGTTGTGAATTTTTACTTGATGGTTCAGGGTCAAGGCCCAGAAGGTTTCTCTCTCTCTCTCTCTGACCAGCACTGCCAGCCCTTCCTTCCAGATTCCAGAGCTTGGTATTGTATTTAACCCACCATATGGACCTGACATCTTTGCCAGAGAAAACTTGGAAAGAAGGGGAAAGTTACCAGAATGAATAGAAAATCACCCATAATTCCACAACCAATGGATAATGACTCTTCATTCTTAATTTACTTGCCAGTAGTCCCTTTCCTATGGCAGTAAGATAATGCAGCATGTATCCTACTACCATGAGATTAAATGGTGTCCCTGGCTGCATTCCAGGCATTGCTGAGCATGTGTGGTGACCTGCAGAAATGGCTCCCCTGCCCCCTACCCTCATACCCCATCCTTCATGGAAAAAGATGCTTTAACCTCATATTAGCTAGGGAATACAAAACTTTAGTCACGGGGGCGTGCCATTTCTTTCCTATCCCGGGACTATTTGATTCAGGGACTGAAAAGAATACTAAGAAATGACATCCTAAGGAAGAAAGAGACAGGAATCCCAGCTTGGCGCACTCACAGCACTGCGGCTGTTGGAAGGAAGTGGTGATTCTGAGGATGAGACTACATCCTTCACTCAGGTTTGTCCCCTGGCCCAGTTCCCATGGGATCAACTATGAATCCAATGAGGGGCTGAGAGGAAAAACTGAACGTGCTGTTTCCATAAGAGCGACGAGGCAGTGCAAGTCACTCGGCACAGCCCAAACGGCTCCCTCTGACGGCAGGCGATCAGTGCAACTCGTGAGCCTGTGGGCAGAAGAAAGGATGCCCCTGTGTCACCAGATGGGGCTTGGATTATCAAGAGTTAATAACACTAAAAGCTGTTTTATGTTTCTATGAAAAATTGCTCGGTGAGTATAAGAAGGCAAAGCAGGAAGGAAGGAAGAGAGGGAGAGGAGAGAGAGAGAGTGAGTAAGTCCAGACGAAGGAAAGAAGGGAAGAAGAGTGACTATATAGAGAGACCAGCCCTGGGCTCAGTTCACTTTTCTTCTTGAAACCCAGGGCTGCTGCCTCTACAGCCCAAAGCCTTGGCTATAACCTGGTGTGGTGCTTGCTTAGTGGAGCATTCAGAGCGTCCCTTGAGGAAAGCTTATGACACACTGCAGCAAGACAGGCATGACTGGGGTCTATGCCCAACCAACGTGACAACCCTAGCTCACCGCTGCACCAGGAAGTTGCCGCTGGATCCACAAGTACCAGGGCTACCTTATGCCTATTTTCCCTCTCCGCTTGCCCCAGGCTTCCCTGTCCCTTAGCAGATGTGGCACAAAGGAACCTCTGCAGAAAATAATCTCAGAGCGTCAGTGTGAGCTGCGTCCGGAAAGTCCATGGCGTTCTGAGTGATGTGGAATTTACTGAGCACTCACCGGGCTCCAGGCCCTGCGCTAAGAGCTCATTCGTTCACTTGTTATATAATTCCATCACTAAAACAAGCGGGGGAGGCAAGTGTGACTATAACCTCCACTTTTGAAGTGAGGAAACCAAGGCTCAGTGAACTTTGGAAACCTGCCTAAGGTCACACAGATAATAAAACTCAGGTGCCTCTGAAAAAAAAGATGACATACTTTAACCATAAACTGTCATGGCCCTGAGACTGAACAGGAGAGTAAGGTTGGTAATTTCCAAGCAGGAAGCAATTTTAAATCTGGCCTGACTTCAGACCCCTTGAACTGCCCCTGGTGTGCCTGGGGAGGCATCTTCTCTCTTAAACATATATGCGCGTACACACGGACACACACACACACACACACACACACATTGACTGGCTGATTGGTATGGGACAATCCGAGTCCCATGTGATCCAGACTCAGCAGTTAACAGAATGATAATTTCCCTACTCTTTCTCGTGAGCAATATTACATCACAATTCCCAGTATTTTCCTGGGAACTTAATGCATCAGAAGCTTCCAACCTTAGCCTAAGGTGTGTTTACTTTAGGAGTTGTGCAGATTCCACCATGCCAAGGATAGCTTAGGACCCTTCTCTGTCTTCCCATAATGCCCTGGATGTTTTGTCATCGATCCAAACTCAATTCCTCAAGTTATGCTCATCATCCCTCCTCCTGTGTTTTCTAGCTCAACGACATTCATGCCCCGATCCTATTCTGAAACCTGGTTGTCATACTGGAATCTAATTCTTCTTTATCCTCCATATCCAATAGTCAAAAAGTCCTATTGATTCTATTTCCCTTATTAGTTCTCAACGTCCATCTCAACTGTCAGTGCCTTGGCTTGGTGTCTTCAAGTTGGTCTCTCTGCCTCCAGTTTTGCCTTCCTCAAATTTATCTTCCACATTGTGTTTCAGTGATCTTCTTAAAACAAGTTTGATAAAGGCCTTCAGTAGCTTACCATTGCTTTGAGGGTAAAGTCTCAGCTTCCTAATAGTCAGCCTGCAAAGCCTCTGCTGTCCCCAAATCATAGATGAGTACACTCTTGCTCCAGCTGTGTGTTTGAAATTTCTGGCAAGGTACCATGATGTCTAATTCTTGAATGCCTTTGTACACGCGCTTCCCTCTGCCTGGAGTGTCCTTCCCTGCCTGCTTTGGCTCCTTGCCTTTTGTGACTGCCTTAGGGTATCCCCTGTTTGTGTTCCTACAATATATGATATGCTACCATGTGATCCCCACTTTGTCTGCTCCCTCATTGTAAATAGTTCTTCTAGGGCAGGGACTGAATTCTTCATCACTCCACTCCCCTGCCTAGCTGCATGCCTGTTTGCGATTCACTACTTGTTTTGGGGTATTGGGAGTCTGTGTGTGCGTGTGTGTGCCCGCGTGCACAAATGGAGAGTGCGCTGTTGCGAAAGCTGCGTTACTTTAACTCAGGCTTTTCCTATGATCACCTCCGATATCACTGACCACTTAACCACTCCAGATTCCTGAAGCTGCTCAGGCTATGCAACTAGGCAACACCTTTGCTTCTGCGCAGAGCGAGTGAGGAGGGGCCAACGACAGGCGCCTACAGGCAAGGGAGGGTGCGCGCAGGCGCACGTGAATGGGAGCGTCCCTCGCCAAGATCCGCGGAACGGGCGCTCAGAAGTCATTTCCGGGAAATTGGAGCCACGCTTTGTGGGCTGCAACATGGAGGCATCTAGTGGAACGGAGGAGCCGGTGAGCCGCTGTTGTGCGGTCGGTGAGTGGGGAAGCTGTGCGGGGCTGATCCTTGAACTCTCCCTCCCCTCTCTTTTTCCTTTTCCAGGTTTCCGGGGAGCTGGTGTCAGTGGCACATGCTCTTTCTCTCCCAGCCGAATCTTACAGCAACGATGTAAGTATGACTCGTCCGCAGCTCCCACTCACTCAGTTAGCCTGGGATGTCTGCAGGGCCTGTCATGAAATTGTAATCCCCCCTCCTGATATCTTCTGTGGATCCTCTCCACGTCCACCAGAAACTGCGCCTTTCAGTTCATTCTAACGTTTTTGGTCCGCAAAGGCGGGAACAATGCCAGGGGAAGTAGTTTACAAACTTTGCTGCACTTAAGAATCACCTGGGAAGCTTTTAAATATCCCGATGCCTAGTTCGTAATCCATACCAATTAAATCAGAATATCTGGGAGGTGAGAATCAGGAATCAGTATTTTTTAAAGGTCCCTGAGTGATTCCATTGTGCAGGAAAGTTGCATTGGCTTATACTGTGTCTCGTTTAGATCCTTAACTAGAAAGCACGTGATGTATTTTGAGATACAAGACACAGGGACATGAAAACAGTAATAACAAATCAAATAAGAATGTGATGTATGCTAGGTGAGTGGATCAGGACATAAGATCCAAAGGATTTTAGTTGAGGAAGAAATTCCTAAGAACCAAGACAGTAGAGGAAGACTTCACTGAGGAAGTGAATCTCAAACTGGATCCTCAGAGTGTTGGTGGACAAAGGACACGGATTGGCATTGAGGAAAAGGGCGTGGCCTAAGGCATGGAGGTACAAATGCAAATGGCTTTTTCTGGTATCAGTGAAGTAGATCTCTTTATTTGGAGTGGGAGATTCCAGTGGAACAGGTGGTGGGGGCTTGGTAAAGCTTATTTATAACCTAGCCTACTTCAAGGAATTGATTCATTTCTAAGTGTTTTAGGGTGGATAATTGGCTATCTGATAAAAACAAAAGATGAGTAAGATATGCTACCCTCTTAAAAGTGAAGAGTAATTTTATTTCCATTATCTTATTTTGTCCTTTCAACAACTCGGTGTATGTGGGTATATTATTTCAGTTTGACAATGATTTAACTTAGTCCTGAGAAGGCAATTTATCTACTGCTTTATGTACTCTCCCACGCTTTCGCTAGCTGCTGGGAAAAGATAGCCAGTGGCTCATTCTGTTTATTAGGCTGGAGCCTCTTTTGGTTGTCATAGGACAAAATAATTATTATATTGTCCAAATCCATTAGTCCAATTTTTACCCTTTGACAGTAACACCAAATTTGGTACCCCTCTTGAGCATTAACTAGACATCCACAGACTTCCTTAATTTGTTCTCTAGTAGCGGGATTGGGAGATTGCTGACCTGGCCTTCTTCACTCCTTTGCAGCCTGATATTGAGATGGCTTGGGCCATGAGAGCAATGCAGCATGCTGAAGTCTACTACAAGGTGAGTTGTCTGTCTTCAGAATGAAGCAGAATTAAACATGTAATTGTAATATATGGTGCTCTGCTAATCACTATTCTTAGCAAGTTAGACAGTTGTGTTTTAGAGGTAGTTTTTATTACTGTAAGATCTTACCCGGGGTGGGGGCAGCACAGGAGGGAAGTAGAAGTGAATTTTGTTTTGACAATGACGAGTTGTGCCTCTTTGCCCAGTGTTCTGTTGCTAACTGGCAAAAAGGTGCCTGGCCCATAGTTGACTGAATGAACAGTCCACAGAGGGCAATAGCCAGGCAGTACTGGGACCAAAAGAGTTTGAATAGGTGGAAGGAATTGTAGTATATTATGGCCCTTTATTTTCATTTTATTTATTTATTTATTTATTTATTTATTTATTTATTGAGGAAGATTAGCCCTGAGCTACCGTCTGCCACCAGTCCTCTTTTTGCTGAGGAAGACTGGCCCTGAGTTAACATCTGTGCCCATCTTCCTCTACTTTATATGTGGGACGCCTACCACAGCATGGCTTGACAAGCAGTGACATGTCCGTACCCGGGATCCAAACCGGGGAACCCTAGGCAGCCAAAGCAGAACGTGTGAACTTAACCACTGCACCACTAGGCTAGCCCCTATGACCCTTTAAAACTATGTCGTGATTTCATCTGAGATCTAGGCTGTCTGTACTTCCTAATGAATTCTTCTGCCCTGAGAACCATAGGGGTTTTCTGGAGAAGAGAGGATAGGAGTGTAGTAAATTAGACACTAACATCTGTATGTTGTCTTATTGTCTGGCAGCTGATTTCATCAGTTGACCCACAGTTCCTGAAACTCACCAAAGTGGATGACCAAATCTATTCTGAGTTTCGGGAAAATTTTGAGAAACTCAGGATAGATGTATTGGACCCAGAAGAGCTCAAATCAGAATCAGCTAAAGAGGTAAGAATTCTCTCTCTTAAATATTTCCTAGTATCTGACGAACAATTAGTGATTGTGAATACATTTTTATACATTTAAACTCTTTTTGCTTTGCTGTAAGGAAAATACATAAAGAACCAGGGCTTTTATGTAGTTATAATCAACTAATAAGTAAGTTATGAAATAAATGTTTTTCTGGTTTATGGATTTTTCATGTCCATTAAATCTATTTTTTTCTCCTTTTTGCCTTGGACATTTATCCCTGCCCACCCAGCCCTTTCAGGCCAGGAGGAATACATTTACTTGCATGAGTAGTTTAGCCAGAAGTCTTGGATGGAGGATTGGTGAATAAGGTACAGGGAGGTGTTTGCATTCTCTGGATTTAGGTTCACGTTATCACAGGCCATAGATAACTGGAAAACTTGAGTTTCGCATTTCTTGCTTGATTGTCTTGTGCTTTTACAGAGAACTAAAACTCTTAGAGTTGGGCACAGTTTCTCCCTGAGAGTAGGCCTTGGCTTATGAAGAATGTAAACTTGTAACTCTTAGCAGTCTGTTACTGATCTTTGGAAAATTGCCTCTACTGATGGACTTCTTTCTTAAAACTTAGCTTTGACTTTGGGCCTAGTTCCTGCCTTCTTTGTCGCATTTGTGTGTCAGCGGGGATGAATAACCATTTTGGTCTGAGCTAGCCAATAACTTAAAAATAAAACCGAATTTTTTCAAGAAATCAAATTTTAATTCTGTAGCCAAGGATTTAAGTATCTTGTCAGGTTAAAATATTATTTATGTTGGGAAATACCAGTCTGAGGACGCAATTGATAGCACAAAAACTTGCTGCTAGTGACACTAGCAATCAGCTCAATCCTAGTCTCTTTTACTATGGTGGTTTTCCTTACTGGGAGAGTGGAAGCCCCTCTCCTGGCCTGACTGTACCAGCTTCCTGCATTTGTCAGCTAAGGCATCTTTTTTGCCTTTGTAGAAGTGGAGACCATTCTGCTTGAAGTTTGACGGGATTGTAGAAGACTTCAACTATGGTACTTTGCTGAGACTGGATTGTTCTCAGGGCTACACTGAGGAAAACACTATCTTTGGTGAGTTTCTTGCCTCTGGAATTGTTTCTTTATAAGGAGAGTGAGGGATGTGGTTTTATTAATGAATCAGTAACATGGATAGTTAGTTTGAGGATCATCTTATTTGTTATATCTTTACAAATTATGTTACTGTTTCTTGAGTAACTGAGATAAGATAGCTCCGTATTTTCAGTCTCATTTAATATCGGATGAGAATTCCACGTCTCTGAAGCTTGTGACTAGACTGGAGTGCTCTGCATGTTAGTTCTGCTTTGTCAATAGATTTTCAGTAGGTTTAGAGAAGTAACTGTGACTAGGACAATAATCAATTCTATTCACCTTTCAGCTCCCAGGATACAATTTTTTGCCATTGAAATTGCTCGAAACCGGGAAGGCTGTAACAAAGCAGTTTATACCAGTGTTAAGGACAAAGAAGAGAAGGGAGCCAATAATGGAGGAGAGAAAGGAGCTGACAGTGGAGGAGAAACAGAGAAAGAAGCCAACAAAGAAATCAACAAAAGTGGGGAAACAGCTATGTAAGGTAGACAGGGAACAACATACTAGAAGCCGTGACTCAACTGAGCCTACAAGTACCATGATGCTACTTGCAAAGACCCCTTGTGGTTAAATGTATGTCCTTGTGCAATTGAAGGACATCTTTCTAGCCTCATAATCAGGAGTTGCTCTGGTTGTTCTCTTGCATGAACTAGCTTGAAGACTATTAATGGTGTCTTAGTTAATTATTTCCTGGTATATAGTTTCTTGGTTCTCACCACCAGTTGAGTAAGAGATTTTGTAAATAAATTTCTCGTGGTTCTTATGGCTAGATATCTGTGATTGACTTTGAAAAAGTATTTAAAATTATTTGACACTTTACTTTTTTTTTCAGGTATATAATCTTTTCACCATGTCTTATATAAAATGATTTATGCCTGTTTCTTAATGCTTCTCACTGTTTCCTGTAGTGAATTTCCCTCAAACCTGTTAAGTTGTACATGGTTTAAGAGTTGACTCTTGCCATTTGAGTGACTATAGCTTTCTGATTTTCTGTGATATATCTGGCAAAAGATTTGATAAATGCTCTGTGGGGATAATAGCAGCAGCCTGAACCTGTCAGACTAGTGAACACAGCCCAGTTTACATTAGAGGAGCCGGAGACTGGACCTGCTTCAGTACCTGCATCTCTTCTGGTAGCCAAGCTAGCAGGAATTAATAATTAAATATAAAGCCTGGTAGGCTGGCTTCCCTTTTATAATGCTATGAACAATAGCATACATTTATACATTAACAGAAAATGAACATATTTTTAAATGATATTTTGTCATACCCCAAAAATAGGCCAGTTGATTTTATATGGTTGAGGGGGAGTTCCTTTTCATCTAATGACTTTTAAGAGTGCATGTTTCAGTTATCTTCACATATCTATAAAAGTTTGTGCATGTCCCCGTAGACATACTGACCTTGATTGCTAAAACTAGTTAGAAGTCACAGTATTGATAGTGCATACAGTAAGTACTCTTAAATGTCTAACTACAGTAGGATCATGCAAGAAAGAATTTAGCAGAGCAGAGAAGGAGGGGGAAATGAGGCTTTTTTTCCCCAGTGGACATAGGAGAAAAATAAAAATGAAACTTAATTGATGAGTTGTCTCCTAGGCAAGTGCTGAACTAGAGATGCACACAGCTAGCAGCAACAATTGTGCACAAAAGACAGTAGGTTTCTCTGAATTCTCCTTTGCCAGTTCTTAAAAATATTTAAAACATTTGTAAGAGTTTTCATTTTATAAAAATGTATGTTTAAAGGGATAAGAGAGTGTTAAATACTTCATACTAGGCAGACTTTTTAAAATTAAGAACTTCCTTTACTGTATTAATTTTCTCTAGTTCACCCATTCTTAAATATCTGCAAACATGTCCATACACATTGCTAGAGGGACTGGGGAAGAAGAAAGATTGCTGGCCACGTGCAGTTGTGCTTGTGGTGGCCTTTTCCAGGTTTCTCAGCAAGAAAACTGACTTAAGACTTCTCTCTGATTTTACAGAGAATAAGAAACATACCTTTGAAAGTCAGACTGCTTTAAAGCAAGAGGCATCTGTCCAAGGACTGGGGGATAAAAACAGAAAAGGAAGGGGAATAATAACACAGATGCACTGTAAGGCCAGGAATCCATGGCATCATCCAAGGTTAAAGGGGAAAGAATGGGCAGAATTCTTAAGACGGCCCCGAGATTCCCACTCCTAGCATACATGCTCTGTATAATTCTCTCATGTTAGTGTGGTAAAGACTTGTGAATATGAGGGGATTTCATTCCTGTGTTTAAGTTACTAACCATTTGATTTTGAGTTAATCAAAAAGGAGATTATCCTGAGTGGGTCTGGCCTAATCAGGTGAATCCTTAAACGAGGCAAGAAGCAGCAGCAGATGTTTTCCTGATGGCTTTGAAGAAGTAAACATCCATGTTGAGAGAGAAGGGGGCCATGTGGCAAAGACCTGAGGGTGGCCTGTGGGAGCTGAGAGTACTCCCAGGCTGACAGCCAGCAAGAAAATGGAGATTTCGCTCCTGCAATTAGAAGGAACTGAATTTTGCCAATAACCAGTGAGCTTGCAAGAGGCCTCAAGCCTCAGATAAGATTGCAGTCCTGGCTAATACTGTGATTTTAGCCTTGTGAGACCGTGAGCAGAGGACCCGGTTAAGCCATATTTGGACTCCTGACCCGGAGGACTGAGATAATAATGGGTGTTGTCTTAAGCCACTAAATATGTGGTAATTTGTTACAGAGCAGTAGAAAACTGCTACAGACTTTGGTACTGGAAGTGGAATGCTGCTGTAACAAGTACCTAAAATGTGGGAGTGGCTTTGGAATCAGGCAGTGAGTGGAGACTGGAAGGACTTTGAGGAGCATGATAGAGAAAGCCTAAATTGCCTTGAACAAACTGTCAGTGGAAATATGGACTTTAAGGATGCCGCTCCTGAGGGCTCAAAAGGAAGTAAGGAACATATTATTGGAAACTGGAAGGTGGGGGTGATCCTATTGATAGGTGGTAACATTGTAGTTAGTTAGAGGCCAGGAAGTTTGAGATTTGGGCCCTTGCTCTGAATTATTTGGGGGATGATATCAGGCCAGGCTTGACATAGTATGTAAACATGTATGATTTATTCAGAATATGGTACCATTCCAGTTGTTGATCTCCATGACATCTTTTGGAGGCAGGGAAAGGGCACAGACTAATTTTTGCATTTACATAAAGGGAAACTGCCGCCATTCTGAAGTTTTAAGCCACTAAGTTTGTGTTAGTTTGTTACAGCAGCAATAGGAAACTAAAGAAGAAAGCATACTGAGCCCTGCTCCAAAAGTGGAGACATTCACTGCACTGTCATGATTTATTTTGAAACTATAGTTTAAACAAGGATATATTGTACCAGATGATTGGAGACATGAATTGCACCTAAAATGGGCTTCAGTGATTCTAAACCATTTTGAACTTACTCTTCGAAGGAGCTTGTTAGCTGGGTCTGTGTGTGTCAGGTGTCATTCATATAACGGAGAGTTCTCTATATGTACAATACAGTGCTTATTAATGAATATGTGCTCATTTGAAGCTTACATATATATTAATAAAACTTAACAGTAACTTTATCAATTGACTAGACCTTAGACCAAGAAAAGGTTTTTCTGGAGAGGCATATTTTATCACTGACATTGTTTAAAATTGCCGCAGCATGGTGATAATTAAAGCAGACCAGGTGTTTTTTGGTTTCATTACTGTTTTTGGGTTTTCTACAGATAATACAACATTTTTTGCTTGCACTCAGTATGGGCGATTCTCACTACCCCACATTGGTACACCACAGTTGCTCTCATATATTCTTTATTCAGATAGTCGATATCTTAACTGATCATTCAGAATTAAGGCATGAATGTATGTTATGTGAATGGTCATTTCTCCATGCCTACATGTTTTTATCTCTAGAATTATGGAAACATTATAAATATCTACATGTTGTTGGTCTCCTGAATTGTACTGCTCTCATAATGACCATATATAACTGGCTAGCTTTAGATTTTCCCTGCTCTACTCAGGGTTTCTCTGAATTCCTCAACATAAATTCCACTTTCTTGAAGTCAGTATTTATGTTATCATATTATAAATTGAAAAACAGAGACTTAAGTCATAAAGTAGTTTGCCCTCCATCACATACATGGTGGTATTGGGATGGAGATCCACATCTTTTGATTATGAATCTCATTGTTTTTCCAAAATCCACATTCCTACTGTAGAATCAGCTTCTTGCTAGAATAGAGACAAATAATTTGGATGAGGAATCAAAGTATTTAATAATCGTAAGTAAGAGCATTCTATTGTGGAGTGATGCACTGAGCTAGTTTAAGCTCCTCAGAATATTTTCAATTTTTCTTTGTCTTTTTCCTTCTGTGTCTGCAAGAGATTCCTTGTTGCATATGCGACTGATACTTGTTTAAAAAGCATTGCAGTATAATCACTATAGGATATCACTGTCTTGAGTTTTAAAGTTATATTTTAGTTTCTTAACCTTTCTTATGAACTGAGATTTGGCTGACACATTTTCCTCAAGTGTTTTTTATTATTTATTTTTTATTTTTAAGGCTTTACTCTATCTTCCTGAAACTTGCATAAAAGTTTTTTTAGGCTAAATCATTGAAAGCTCTAATATCTATTACTAATTGATCTTTACATTGTAAAGAGAATAAAGGAAATAAAACTGCCTTAACTTAGAGAGGATGGACCTTTGATTTAGGATTCTTATGACATCCTTTCTATTTACATTGAAGTATATCTTGCCAAACTTACACAATTTTGAAAATTTAGATAATGTTTAAAAATTGAAATCACAATAATTTAAAATGCACATGTTCTTGGCTTTTTACTAAAAAAACTAAGACTTCTAAAAAGTTTGTCAATCTTAAGGTCATTTTTCTCCCCCAAAGTCACTGAGGCTTACCTGCCATCCTTTGGTTTAGGGAAGATAAACAAGGGAATTCTCCCTCGTGCCCCGCCACCCATCGGAATAAGTTTATTGCCTCTTAATCCTGGATGAGATCATGAACTCTAAGGACACTTGCTCACCTGCCGAGCTCACACTCACCAATGGTACATTTATTTTAAATTGTCTTTTTTTATTATGAAAACTTTAAACATAGACAAAGGTAGAAATAATAATGAACCCCTATATACCTGTTACCCAGATTAAATAGCTATCAAGATTTTGACGCATTTGCTTCATTTATCCTTTCTTCTTTATTGAAGCATTTTAAAACAAATCTCAAACATCATATCATTTCACTTTTATTTATTTCAGTGTGCATCTCTAAAAAATGGGAATTTTCTTATATAATCACAATAGTAAATAATCACAAATAATATTTTCAGCTGATGTTCAATTGTAGCAGACTTCGCGACTGTATATTCAAATGATAGAGACTCAGGAAATAGTCCTTTAGAGTATATTTAAGGAATAGTGATTAGTGTAGGTTGACTGAAGTATGAGTAATAGGATGTATGTATACAGGAGAATTGGATGAGGTTGAAAATATGTATTTGATTCACAGTGTGGGCACCAATAATGAGCCCTAGATGCTGAGTTAGATGCCCTACGTCCATCTTATCCCTAACATGTAGGCATTATTAATCCCATTTTACACATTAGGAAATTTAGGCTTGGAGAGGCTTTGAATCCCAGGCTAAGGATTTTAGATCTAATTTAGTTGGTAGTGGCAAGATACTGGAAGTTTATTTTAATTTCTGGCTAGTGATATAGTGAAAACTGTTTAAGGAAGATTAAACGATGTGCCATATTGAGTAAATTCAATATTAAGCATTTATTCTGGATGGATTGTTTCGACCTGATTCTTGCATTCATTCATTTACTTAAATATATTTATGGAGTGGATACTACACACCGTGTATGTTAACAATCTAGTGGGGAAGACAGAACTTAAACATATACAAGGACATTGATAAAGTTTGCTAAGGAAATTTATGGTAGAACTTTTAGTGCCTTTTTGTGATTAAAAAACAAATCTATGCTCATCTTTTAAAAATATGGAAATCAGAACCCACAGAGAAATTTTTAATTACTTATTACTTACTGCCAACTACGTTGCCAGGGAAGGGGAAGCCCATGAAAGATTGTTTATTGATTTTCATTGGCCTGTCCTAGAACTGATACACATCTTCTACTGATAGCCCGTCAAATAGAACTCAGTGCTCTTACACCGAATTGCAAAAGAGGGTGGAAAATTTAATCTATGTGTGTGCCCAGGAAGATGAGGAGCCAAAGCTTTTATTGGACTACCCAGCCAGTCTCTGTCACAGCAGGTAAATAGTTATTGGTGTCTCCTGCACATATTCATTAACTTCAGTTTATTCATTTCTCAAATTCTAGAAGGAGATTTCCATTCTGTGACCCTGGTGCTCAGTGAATTCCTAACTGTACAGTTGACTTCTTGAATTCATGTTCTTGGACACTGTGTCAATATGGTCTGAAATAACAAGCTTCTCCTTTGGACTCTTCATTACTTCTTTTAAGTGATTAAAATGCATTGTGTTGGAATAAAAACATGTCACTTACTATTGTGTTCTTCATTTAGACAATATAATCTATGCATTATTTATTGTTAGTTAAAAAGAAATCCATCTATTCTGGACACAGAAAGGCTATTCATTTCTTTATAATCTGCAATGAGTTTAGGACATTAAACTTGCTCTAGGTTAGATGAGAAACTGTACAAGTGACAGGTTGGTTCAGCCTTTAGGTGGGGAAGTGTTATATGCCACACAGTAAACCTTACAGATTCACATAGAATGGACTTGGACCTCAGCTCTGAAACTTGATAGTCTTAAATTTATTCTAAATTAGTCCAGCACAGTGTAAGAGAGAGAATGGATTAACATGGAATCATTATAGAATTATTTGGATTATGTATATAATAAAAGAAAATAGCTGTTTTTCTTCAAGGAAATGTTCTAGCAATGCCATTACCAACAAAGTTATAATTTACTCAAACAAGTTTGAAATATTTCATCTGATCCTGGAGTTCACTTTATCATTCGTTCATTCATTTGTTTCTGTATTCATTCTTTTCCTAAACACCTTTACATATTGTCTTTACCATGACTTAAAGGGTAATCATTCTCTTCAAGATCCCTGCCACCTTTTTCTGTGACTCATTACTCTGTTGCTCCTGCCTTCAGCCTCAGGGCCTTTAGACTTGATATTCCCTCTGCTCGGTAAGCTTTTCCCACAGATATCCATATGATACTAATTCATTTCTCAAAGATATCTACTCAAATATCACCTTAATAGAGAGGTCTTACCTGACCTCTTTATTTAAAATAACACCTCCCTTGGCACTCTCTATCCCCTTACCTTGTATTTTTCATTATAACTCATCACTGTCCCCTCCACCCTCACCCTGGAGGGCAGGAACATTGTCTGTTTTGTTTGCTGTTGTATGCCTAGCACCTAGATCAATGTCTGGCTGGCATATAGTGGAGTCTTAATATTTTTTAATAGATGAGCAAAGGAAATACCTACTATATATCAGGCATAATTCCAATACACTGGGATCACAATCGAGACACTGAACAATCAGGTTGAAGTAAGATCCAAAAGTTTTCCGTTGTTGTTCTCTCCATCCAGACAGGGATATGTTAGAAAAGAAAAATGATGGTCCAAATAATTTTACATTTTGAAGGCCTTTCCACACTGGGTAGTAGGAGTTAAGCTAATTCACGAACAAGATCCACTGGGCAAATGCCTACTTTTCTACAGGCGTTTGCAGTCATAACACTAGGTATATGAGATCACCTTTATAAAGTGGAATATGGCTATCATTAAGGCTCCAGGTTTTTTTAAAGGCCTGCAGCACATGAGGCATTTGACTTGTATATATGCTATCTCAAACCAATCATATTACTCTTCTCTCTTCCCTAACCTGCGCCTCCTTCTGTATACACATTTTTTTATCATAATTTTTTCCATCATTCTGGCTTAAAATCTTGGCAATGTCTCGCGTCTTCCTCTTCTCCTTTCACTTACTTCTCATTCATATGGCTTTCAAGTAGTATACTGCTCTGTAGCTGAGGCCACCACATCGAACAACTAACTCCAAAGGATGCCGTTCACATTTTGGTTTATGTTAATGGAGTCATGCACTGAATAAACCTGCACAACTATCTACAGTGGTCCTGCATATGGCTGAGACTGCTAGTTGCCTACCCAACATCGACTTTCCCCTTCTTTTAAATAACTCCAAATTGTAGCTGAACATATTGATGATTGGGTTAAAAGGTCATAGTTGCTAACCCGTCTTTGAGCTAGGTTTAGCCGTATGACTAAGTTCTGTCTAATAGGATGTAATCTGAAGTTTGTTTTGTGGATCTTATAGGAAAGTTGCTTAAAGGAAGCTAATTCATCTGCTGGAGGTCCCTTCTGCTCCTCTTCTCCTCTCTGTCATTCCGCCTTTTTATGGCCTGCAACAATAATGTGAAGACTAAAGCTTCAGCTTGGAGTACATCTTGGACTATAAGGAGATCTTGAGGATGTAAGCAGTCATTTGTTTGACAAGTACAGGGTCATTTGTTTCTCTACTTGTGTCATCATCTGTTTTCCCTCTGCCTCAGCCCAATCACCATAAGAGCATCAGGGACAAACCTGTAGTCTGACAAAGTTAAGATCATTGAACCATTGCCGTGAGGGAGATTGCACGTCAGGAGAATC